TTTTTTCTGTTTTTTTCCCATTTTTTCCCCATTTCTCACCTGTTTGATGACCTCGGTCTCGTTGTCGTCCTCCAGGAGGAAAATGGGGAAGGGGAATTGCTCGTAGGAGAGGCCACTGCCCAGGGGGTTCCAGACAGAACCGTTACAGTGAGAGAACTGCGGGCCATAATCCTCGGAGTAAACACCTGGAAATGGGAAAAATGGGAGAAAATGTGAGAAAATGGGGAAAAACAGGGAAAAAATGGGGAAAAACGGGGAAAAAATGGGGGGAAATGGGGAAAAAATGGGGGAAATAGGGGGAAAAAGAGAATGAAATGAGAGAAGACCAGGGAAAAAATGGGGGAAAACTGGAAATGGGAAAAATGGGAGAAAATGTGAGAAAATGGGGAAAAACAGGGAAAAAATGGGGAAAAACGGGGAAAAAATGGGGGGAAATGGTGAAAAAATGGGGGAAATAGGGGGAAAAAGAGAATAAAATGAGAGAACTGAGGGCCATAATCCTCGAAATAAACACCTGGAAATGGGAAAAATGGAAAAATTGGGAATAAGCAGTGAAAAAACAGGGGAAAAAATGGGGAAAACCAAGAAAAGTCTCTTCCCAAGGAGGTGACTCCAAAGCTGAACATTCCCAAATTTCCAGCTTTTCCTCCCACCTTTTCCAATTGGATTCAAATTCCCAATTTTCCTGAAATCCTCAGAATCTCCAACCCCAAACCATCTCTTTTTTCCTTGTTTTCCTGGAAGGAAAAAAAAAAAAGGGAATTATTTTTTTTCCTCACCGAATCCATCGTTGGGACATTTCARTCCCGGGGAAAATCCTTGGGAAGGGTCGGGACGGGCTGAGGTGACAGCGAGGCCGGAAATTCGGGAATTTCCTTTCAGCTGCATCAAAATATCCCTGGAAATGGGAAAAAAATGGGTGGAATTTGAGATTTATCCAGGAAAAATCAAAATTCAGGGATAAATGAAGGAAATGAACTAAAACATCCCGGGAATTTTATGTTGAAAAGGCCAAAATGAGGGAACGTTAACAGAAAATTCCAGACTGGAAATTCGGGAATTTCCCTTCAGCTGCATCAAAACCTCCCTGGAAATGGGAAAAAAAGGGGTGGAATTATGGATTTATCCAGGAAAAATTAAAATTTAAGGAGGAATTGAGGAAATGAACAAAAAAATCCTGGGACTTTTATGTTGAAAAGGCCCAAAATGAGGGAAAATCGACAGGAGAAAATTCCTGGAAAAGGGAAAAAAGGGATGGAATTTGAGGTTTATCCAGGAAAAGTCAAAATTCAGGGATAAATGAAAAAAATGAACAAAAAAATCCCGGGAATTTTATGTTGAAAAGGCTCAAAATGAGGAAAAATTAATAGGAAAAAATTCCTGGAAAAAGGAAAAAAGAGATGGAAATTGAGATTTATTCAGAAAAACGCAAAATTTAGGGATGAATTAAAGAAATGGTGCCAAACTCCATAAATTTTTGTTTTGGAAGGCCCAAAATGAGGGAAAATCCAGAAGGAGAAAATCCCAGCCTTGTTCTTCCCACTTTTCCCAGGAAAAGCAGCTCCCCCCATCCATCCTGGGGTGAAATTCCCGATTTTTTAATTTTTATTAAATCCTGGATCAAAATCCCACAAATTTGGGA